TAACACAGTGTCATACTAGTGTGTCTGGAAAGGGCAGCTCCAGGATGCTTCACTGAGCAAACATGGTTTTACCATGTGTTTGACACCCAGTTCAAATCTCAGTCTGAGCATAACTCAGTGAATGTCCGCAGAGAAGTGCAGTTTTACAGACCCACCCGCCTCATCAGCTCTATACTATTATGTGTTCATTGTGCTTGCTGTACTTCTATGAAAATGTTCCATAAACCCATTCTCCGTGACCTCAGTCTCCCTCTAGGAAAGCCACGAAAAGATGAAAGATTGTTTGTTTCTCCTGCTTACACAGCTCTGCACCACATGATCTGGCTGTAGCTGAGTGGACAGAATTGCTAGGCTACGCAAGTCTCTCAGTCATGCAATACCCATGGCACACCCTGGTAACATCTGGCACTATCAGAATCAAAAAGGCATCTTTTGAAGAACCTCATGCCCATTTATGGGCTTGTTTGCCTTGAAAGTTGATTCTACTTTGAAAGTACAACTTGTTTATTCCCAATTACAAGTGGACTTAGGAATCTACTTAATTGCCCCGTAAGCAGGCAAATGATCTACCATTAATCTTACAGCACATAAAGGGGATATCTCTACCAGGTCAATGTTTCTGTTGGAACTATCTGCCATAAACCAATCCATTTATATATTAACATATATTAACACACATTTTTCTTTAAAAAAAAAAAGATGAATGCTAGCTGTTCATGAAGCATGCCTGTAACCCCCCACCCCACCCTCCCACCCCCGTATTTAGAAGGATTTGGAAGAATATTAAGAATTTGAAACCAAATGACAGACTTTGGAGATCCCCCATGGAGGGCCTCACCCTCCCTGGGGAATGGTGTGGGGATTGGATGGGGGGATGGAGGGGCTGTTGGGGGCGCAAGGGAGGAGAGGTGGGAGAGGGAACTGGGATTGACATGTGAAGCAAGCATGTTTCTAATTAAAATAAAAACATATATTGGGGAGAAAAAAGAATTTGAAACCAAGTCAGGTGTGGTGGCATACAAGTTTAATCCCAGCACTGAGGAGACAGAGACAGGGGGATCTCTGTGAGTTGGAGGCCAGCCTGGTCTACATAGTGAGTTCCAGGACAGTCAGGACTCTGTAGAGAGACACTGCCTCAAACAGACAAACAAACAAATAATCTACCTGAAACCAGCCTGGGCTACACAATAAAATCTTGTCTCAAAACATTTTTGTAAAATAGCTAATGAGTGATGTATTACAAGTCATTCATCTTGACAAAGAATTTTGTGAGTTTAAAGCCTAAAAACAACTCAGCCCAATGACCAGCATTTTAGAGTGAAGGAGAACTGGTACTGAATCGCTGAATTTCAAAGTAAGGAGAATGAGAAATGATGACAGCAATTGAGGATGACAACTAAATTGTTGTCTTCATACTCAGGATGGGCTAGTTCACACCAGTAAGAAAAACTGCATGTGAAGAGTCATCAGACTGACACAGCCCAAGTGATGCTGATCTGTGGCCATCTACAATTCCACACCCGAGATCTATTCTTGCAGACACCATCTCAGGCTCTGTGAGAGTTTTAGCTGAAGACATAACTCCTGTAGAAACAGAAATGTCTTACGTTATCTTGTAGTGCCAGCATAGACACATAAAGTGAGGATCAGAGCAATGGGCACCACCTCTGCCCTCCCATGAACAGACAACACTGGTGCTTATCTCATTATTGTGAGGATTTCTGAGTCTGAGCTCGTTCACTAAGTACTGAATGAATATCACTATGACATAAATGTAGAGAGTTTAAAGAGAAAAATGGTAGACTTTAAATACTGTATGTATCCCTTATACTTGTGCATAATATATCTCATCATTCAACCAATATTTGAGCATCTGCTGAGTGCTAGACACTGAGCTATTTGCTTTGAGATCTACCATCAAACAAAACAGAGAAAAACCTGGCTTCATAGAATTTACATTCAGCAAAATATATAGATGTACAATGATAAAAATCAATTAAATAGGTTAGAAACTATTAAGTGCTATTTTTTAAAAAAGGAAAAGGGTAGGTGTGAGGAGTTTCAGGATGCTGGGTAGGAGAAACCTTCACCTGTGGCCAGGTTAAAATAGCACTCAGGGTGCTTTACTGCTCTATACATATACATAAGTAGGAACTCAGTTTCCCTGACAGGTTGGCCGGGAGAGACTCCAGTGGCAGGCAAGGCCAGATCATGGAGAACCTTGGACACCATGTTAAGATCATTAGATTTTTTTATTCCGTTTAGGATTACCTATGACATATATTTTTAATCAAGAAAGAAAACTAAAACTAAATGAGAAAGTTATAGGCATACTAAAACTATCCCTTGGAAGTAAATGCTAAAAGGAATTTTTATCAAAAATCCTTCATTTAAACCACTGCATCAGAATTAACTTCTTATAAATTCTCTCTGAAGTTAACTATAGAAAGTAGGAAATACATCGTATTAACAAGAGCCCTTGACTGTAGTACACAGTGGATGAGAGTGTTAATCCTGCAACTACTGCCCCATGGGCACTGAAAGCACTTGTTAATTCTTCTGCAATAAACATCCAAGAGCCATTCTCAAAGCTGCTATTAGCATTCTGCTATGAAAAGCACAGCCTTGCTAATGTCAACACACAAATATAATCCAGTACCTATAAAACGAAAAACAGAATTAGTGGCAGCTTATTGCCTTATACAAACTTAATTAACTTGGCAACCATGACAGAGGAATTAAAACATTTTTAGAACATATATGCAATGGACCATAAGTTTAAACACAATACAAGTGTAAGAATAATCTCTGTGTGCATCATATAGCAACTCAACAAGTGAGTGAAAACTGATGAAATAAGTGGAATTATGGGGCCATCAAGATGGCTCAGTAGGGAAGGTGCCTGCAGTCAAGGATGACAGTAGAGTTCAATCTCAGGAACCCACAGGCTAGAGGAACTAATTCCTCCAAGTTGCCCTTTGACCCCTACACAAAGGTGCCCTGGGTGAGAGTGCTGACACTGATGACAGTGAGGAGTGATCGGATTCAGAATCTGCTGACTGTCGTGGGTGTGATGGGCAAGAACGAGGAACTAAGGAACAATGGAGACTTGAGGCCTGACTCTGGAGGGACAGAATTGCAGTCTCCTGAGATAAGGACAGTCAGGGGCACAGCAAGTTTAGGGAAGTGAGATCAGGACTTCATGGTTACTCACATTACGTCTAAAACAGTCAGCAGTCATGCAAATGATGTTTAAGTAAGCACTTGCACATACAGCTCTGGTGAAAATTCAGTAAAGTGTCTAGGCTAGAGATGCCGAAGTCACGTGTATTGTCTGAACTCAGGAGACTGGATGAAACTCCCAGTGGACACACATCAAAAGGATCAAAGAGCAAGGCTTGGGACGTGCTCATGATAGGGGTAGGACAGGGAGGAGCCCAGCAGAGAAACTTTGAAATGGCAAGATTCCCATGTTGCCATTTGGGGAATGTGAGCTTCACACCCCCGTTAACTCTGGAGGCAAGGAAGGAAGATTGACAAAGGTCAGCCTGAAGTCCAGACTGTCTCAAAACAGGGAGGAAAGGGGATGATACACAGTAAATGTGTCCTCGACTAAGAGACAAACGTAGGCTGACAAAGCTGATTTACAGGCTCATATTCTAACAAGAACTAATTCAATGGTTTTACAGACAGCTGGAAGAATGAAAAGGACTGTCAGATGGGGTTTCATCTACTATGAATGCCACATGACACAGGTGATAGACCCTAGTCCTTCCCCAGGCCCGCTTGCCTCCAGCCCAGCACTTCCTCAACTGTGCTGGCAAGAGGACAATACGAGAATTCAAAATTCAAAGTGTTCTTAAATCCAGGCATGTTCCCTATCTCTCATCACCATTCCCCGGCTCAATTATTTTTCTGAACTGCGTACGTACAGGAGCCCACAAAGGACTTGTGGTATGATTATTAGCTGACCCTCTAGGCCCTGGAATTTTATGAGCCTCTGTTACTTTCACCAAAACTTTTAACTCAAGAAAAATTGCAGATAACCCTACATAGAAGGTTAAGAAAAAAATGCAAGTCCACACATGTAGTTAGTACATACACAAAAGAAGAACCAAAGCAAATGTCATTTTTGTTTATCAATGAACCGTATTTATTTTCCATCACAACAGTAAGGAAGAGAAAGAGAAGGAGGAAACAGAGAGAGCACCTTTCAGTATGTTTTGCTAAGGACAAGTCCCTTGATGCTGCTTATTGACATCTCAGTATAAACAGGCTGAATCTTGACATTTAAGAAAACCACTTGGGCACTTGAAATCCTAATTTCCCATGAAACTTAAAGGCTCTTCTCTCATTTAAAACTTCCCTATCAGTTCCCAAATTCTTTTCTGAAGAGAATTCCTGTTTTTCCAGAAGTACCCCACAAATAGATATAGTTTCTTTGTGTCAGTCACTGGCATTTTGTTAACCTAATTGCTGCATCCTCTGTTGAAAATTATTACAAGGCCATTACACTAGCTTTTTCCCTGAATAAGATCAGCAAGCGACTTCTAGAAGTGACCGATCAGATCTCTTTTGTTACATTTATTTTGGAGAAAGGGGTTCTCACAGCTTCAGGGGTTGCTTCTCTCCTTCCACGGGTGGGTTCCAGGCACTCAACTCAGCTGTCAGGTCTGGTTGCAAGTGCCATTCCCCACTGAGCCCTCTCACCCACATCAAATATCTTACCTTGATACAATTCGTTCCAAGATTTCCATCATCCTTTTAGAAATTGGTTTTGTTTGGGATTTTTAAAATGCTGAAGTATACCATCAGAGACTTTGTTTAGTAGTCTGATGGGGGAACTGTTCTTGTTTGAAAGACCTTTAATTCCCAGAGTCTGGGGTCACAACCAGGACAGTGTCTGGGGCGGAAGTCACCCTGACCTGTCTTGCTCTGCTAGATCTGCCTGTGTGACCTGATGATATTTACTACAAAGGGAGCCAAAGATGCATACTCACCAAGTGGACATAAGGCACAAAGTATCCAAAAAGTGCAAGTGGTATCCCAGCAGCCCACACTGCATACGCTGTCACCTTGAAGATGGCAAAATTGAAAAACTTTTTTGGAGGACTGAGCTTTCTCCTGGAAAAGAAGGAGAGTCTGCTGCTCCCGCTCTCTTTCTCTTTGGCACTGGGAACAAGAGGGCGGTAAGTAAAGCCAGCCAGAAAGAGAACAAACATGAAGATGCAGAGGACTCTCAGGGTGTTAAAGAGGCCCACTCTGACGGTCAGACTCCCTAAAAGCAAAGGTAGCAAAATTGTGAAGACACTGCTGCCGGCCGTGACGATGCCGTTAACTAGTCCAAGGCGCTTCTTGAAGTAGTGTCCCAAAATAACCAATGAAGGCTGGTATGCAAAGGAGCAGCCGCAGGCAAATATGATTCCATAGGTAAGGTACAGAGGCTCGATGGAGCTGCATAAAGATGAAAGAGACAGAAAGCAGCTTTAATCTTTGTGTGGTGCTTAGTAAAATAAAACCCTATGGAGGGGGTTGGAGAGACAGCTGAACAGTTAAGAGCATCTGCTGCTCTTGCAGAGGACCTGGACTTGGTTCCCAGCACCCACTTGGCAGCTCACAACCACTGTAGCTCCAACCCCAGGGGATCCGATGGCCTCTTCTGGCCTCTGTGGGCAACAAGCATGCACATGCTGCACAAACATACATGTGTTTAAACATACACACACATGAAATAAAGTTATTTAACTCTTAAAAGGAACTCCCTTAGTAAAAATAGATCTTATCAACATGTTTTTCTGATAATATAAAAGGGGAAAGGTTTAATAAATCAAGAATATTTCAGTAAAATACATTATTTAGTCTGAATGTATAAAAATATGACCATTAAGGTTATCAGTGACTCTGCCCCCCTTTGCCTGCCAAGGACTTCTGGTGAACCATACACACACAGCATTGGGTAAGAACTATGTTCTCCACAACTCAGAAATAAGCGGCTGTCAGGAAGGGACAATAAATCTTGTTCAATAGTACTTTTAAATTACAGTTTAACTGTGCACACACGGTATTTTTATGGCATTTTCCCAGTGCTTACTAAGCAACATACTCAGAGAAAAGACTATATCTGACACTGTCTCCTCAGTGTCGTATCAAGGGACATTTGAATTCCAGAGCAGTTATGCCCCTCCTACCCCCACTGTCCTACAGCTGTCAACCAACCTTCGCCCTGTATTGCGTTGTTCCCAGCATTGTGCAAGGTAAGAAGAAATCATATTCAAATTACATTAAGACTGAGTTAAGTGTTCTCAGCAGTGATTCCAGTCTGCAAGCTTGTAAAGTAATTATTATTTAATGTCTCAGAAGAATGCAAGAATTTTTTAATTTAATCAACTAATTTTCCATCTCTTAGGAAGGTGAAGGATCGTGTGCTTGGAAGCAAGTAAGGTAAGACTAAAAGAAAACAAGTTAAAAGTTCTCTTCTTGTTCTTTCTTTTTTTTTCAAAGTCCAATTCAAAAGGCTATTTATCAGTAGATAAAGCTGGTTAATAATTAAATTTTGGACAATAGTACTCACTTACCAATATCCTGAGGGAATCACAAGGAACTCAACTCTGATCAAATGAAGACACTTTGGCAATCCTCTGAGGAGATAGATGCCCTTCCCCTTCAGCTAATCCGCATCTAGCACTACCTTCCCATGTCACGTCTCGGCCTTCCCAGATCAGTCTCACTTCTTTCTGATCTCTAGGTTCCAAATCTCCACTCTTCTTTTTGTTGTTTGTTTGTTTGTTTTTGCTTTGCTTCGCTTTTTCAAGTCAGGGTTTCTCTATGTAGCCCTTGCTATCTTGAAACTTGCTCTGTAGGCCAGGTTGGCCTTGGGCTCACAGAGATCCTCCTGCCTCTGCTACCTGAGTGCTGGGACTAAAGCATGTGCCACCACATCCTGCTCAAATCTCCACTCTTGAGTCAACAGACACAGTAAACAGAAACTTGGTGGGAAAGTATTGAAAAATATTTGTATCTTCAAATTACTCATAATATGCATAAAGCAATACTTCCATCCTTATCCCCAGTAAGAATTGCATAGAAAAATGTATTGTTTCAAAAAATATTTTAATTATTATCATTTTATATTATGTGTATGGGTGCTTTTCCTGCATGTACATCTGTGTACCATGTGTGTGCCTGGTGCTCATGGAGGCCAGAAGAGTGCATTAGATCCCCTGGAACTGGAATTACAGATAGTTGTGAGCCACCATGTGGGTGCTGGGAATTGAACCCAGATCCTCTGCAAGAGCAGCCAGTGCTCTTAACCACTGAGCCATCTCTCCAGTTGGTGCTTCATTCCTTTTGGTTGGAGGGGGAAGTTGTCTGTTTTGATTTTTAGGTCTCTCACTACATGGCAGAAATTAACCTTGAATTCACAATGCTTCATTCTGTACCAAATTTTCCACATAAGCAGTTTTCTAAATAATTGCAAGTTCTCAAATTCTCAAAATTTTAAAGAAAAAATGTAATATTTATATACTTTCTTTACCTCCCTCAAAGGGGGGGGGGGTTGAAAAACAAATGTTTGGTGTTGTGTGTTTGATTTCCTACTGAAACACATAACAAGCTCTGTAGGCTTTCACTTGCTCTCCATACCCTCAGCAAGGGGCAGAGCCAGTACCTGGAGAATTCCAAACGAACTTCTTTTCTTTTTAAATAAAAAGTTTAGAAGCAATCAGAAAGACTCTTTAAAGATGAAATCCCGTTTCCTACTAAGAAGTATAATTTTAAAGAACGTGGATGAAATTTGAAGTGGAGAAGTACAAAAGCTAAGTGTCTACTTTAGATTGAGGAAGGGGTGCGTTTGTGGTAGGAACTAAAGGGAGAAAGCTAAGGATTCTGCTGACTGAACAGGAAAAAAATCTTAAACTGGGCCAATATTACAAGCTAGATCCCTCCTCAGCCCCACCCATGATAAACACTGTTTTTCGAGTTAGGATACATGAGGGTAGGCAGGGAAGAAGGGGGTGGGAAATGAGGACAAGTGACTAGCTGAGAACGGCCTTGGGGCTTCTGCTTGCTAGCTGCCTCATGCTGCCAGTGCTGCCAGAGCGCCCGCCCGTGTTCCTCTAACTGAACGTTCTCAGAACCACAGAGGGAACTGACGACTCTGGCTGCTTCACACTGTCATGTGTCTTTGATGTCACAGGTCTTTGGAGGCCTGCATCTTTCTTCTAATAGATGTCACATACGACGTGAAGTTTTAAAGTATTTAACCACTTCATCTTGTCTTGGTATTTAAATAGTTTAATATGTTCTTTTTATTTATTATTATTTTTTACAGCATAGAGTGGAGATCTCTACGTGGGTTGGCACTGATTTAGAAGATTTTATTCTCAACAATAAAATAATTTTCCTATCAAGCTTATTACTTAAAAATTTATCTTAGATATTACTTAGAAATCACTTACTACTTAAAAATATCACTTAGACCAGATGGTTGTGCACACCTTGAATCCCAGCACGCAGGAAGCAGAGGCAGGTGGATCTCTGTAAGTTTGAGGCCAGCCTGGTCTACAGAGTGAGTTCCAGGACAGGTTCCAAAGCTACAGAGAAACCCTGCCTCGGAAAAAAAAAAAAAAAATATATATATATATATATATATATATATATGTGTGTGTGTGTTTATATGTATGTGTAAATGTATATGTACATATATGTATGTGAATGTTTATGTACATAAGTATGCATATGTACATGTGTATATGTATATATATGATCACTTAGAGTTCTTGAGATCTGAGATGGCAGTGACTTTAAACTGAAGCCATAGCTTTAAATAACTCATAGATATAACTTGATTCCTTTAGGAGTTTTATGTAAATAGGTTTAAGCAAAAGGAAAAACATTTTTCTTGGCTCCAGTGAACACGTGCCTCCTGACATCTAAAACTGGTCACTGCGAGAAAATATACTTCAATGATCTGCCTCAGGTGTGCCGCCATGAGTGGACAATTCTGATCTCCAATTGCTGGCATTTTAATGGGATCTTCTTGTAAACAGCAAAGACTCTGGAAGGTATTTAATAGCTCTCCAAGAGCAACAGGAAGCAGCCACATCCTTACCTTACGAAAGAACTGGACATGAGTCCGATGAACCCCACGGCAGCACCCATGACAGCTGTTTTCCGGCAGCCAAACATGTCTGTGAAGACACTGACTATGGGGCAGCAGAAGAAGATCATGCCCATGGACAGCGAGCCGACCCACGCTGGAAGAGAAGGGACAGCCTTACAACACCGCAACCTGCACTCGGCCACCTGTGTCAAAGAAGAGCGCTGGTGCACAGATAACCAGAGGGAATGCTGCAATACCAGCTTAAATGTGAGGCCAGTAGTGACTCATAGCAACTGTATTTAACTGAATTCTTGAAAGGTTTGTGCTTTTCAATTAATTAAACATTCCTCTATGGCCCTGTCTAATTTATATCTGTGGTCGTAAGCAATTTCTAATCTATGAAACAAATTGCATTAGATAAAAAAATTAAAAAGGAAGTTGAACTTGATGGAGCACACCTATGGTCCCAGAACTTGGGAAGCAAAGACAGAAGAAAAATGAGTTTAAGTCAGCTTGGATGACATAATAAGACCCTCAAACACACACACACACACACACACACACACACACACACACACACAAATTTAGTTCGACTGGGGAGGTCAAAAAAAATGACCCCTGAAATCAGGGTAGTAATAAGTTTTCACTTTAGAATGTTCTTTTCTTTTGTTTGAGACAGGATCTCACTCTGTAGGCCCTGCTGGCCTAGAACTCATTATGTTGCCCTAACTGGCCTCAAACTTACCCCAATTCTGCTGTCTCAACTAGCCTTCCAGACTCCTAGAACTACAGATGTGAGCCTCCATGTCAGCTGTGGTGAACTCAAGTAGACTACTATCCTTTTGTAACAAACAGCTAAGGAGTGATCGATTGTCTGTATAGCATCTGGGTTGGATTTTTGGTTTTTGTCCTAGAAATTGACTTATACATAGTAGATTATTTCTGACCTGGACAGTCACTGCAGGGTATTTGTTTTACCATTATTTATAAAACCATGCTATTCTCTTTTCTTCTTTGAAAGTATGCTATTTTCCACAACTTAAAAAAAAAGGTAGTGGCTATCAAAAACCATAGTTTCTGGTTCTCATTCTATAAAAAACAAAACAAAAGCTGAAAGCATTAGGTACAAATATTCATAACAGTGTGTCAAAAAACTGAATGGTTTGTCATCAAGCCTGGACATTCTTCTAAAAATAAGCTAGTAGGGCCTACATGAATGTGGCTATACAGCAAGCCCTCTAACAAAGTTGTCCCTGAAAGGTCGAATTAGACATATACCTTCCCAGAATTACTGAGGATTGGGAAAAGTGTAAGTGAACCTCAGTGCCCAGGTACCACACTGTCTAGTCTCAAAGCTCTTGTCATGGTAAGACTAGGAGATCCATGAGAACACAGCCCACAGAATCAACCAAGCAGAGCTCGTGGGGCTTACAGAGACTGAAGCAACAAACACAGACCCTGAGCAAGGTCCTCTGAATATACCTTATGGTTGTGTAGCTTGGTGTTCTTGTGGGTCTCCCAACAGTGTCTCTACCCTTCCCCCTGCTGGGTTGCCTCATTCACCCTTCATATGAGGGTTTGCACCTCGTCTTATTATATCTTGTTAGGGTGTGTTCAGTGGAAATCCCTGAGAGGCCTGGGTTTTTTGGGGGGCGAGGATGGAGCAGGAGTGGATCTGGGAGACAGAGGATGCTGTGGGAGAGATCGGAAGGAGTGGAGGGAGGGGAAACTGAGATAGAGATGTAATGTATAAGAGAGAAAAAGAATATAGGTGATCTTCAGCTCCACCCAGTTCTGAAAATGTCCTGCCTGTGTTTCTCTACTTCCTTAACAGAGGTATGAAAACCAAATCCTGTAAAAGACCCTTTCTTAGTGCTAGGTCTAAATGAAATTTGACCATATTGACAACCTCACACTTTTTATTTCATGCACTTTATGTCATTCTTAATTATGTACATAATATATGTAAATAGCCGTGACTCCAGTTTATCAGAAAGAAGACTGTTACCTTAGCACACTGTGTGTACTGGGACCAAACGCAGTCCTGCAAGAGCACAAGAGCTTTCTTACCACAGAGCATCTCTCCAGCCTGGTGCTGTGTTCTTGCAGTGCCAACACCAGCTCTGTGCTGAAAAGAACATATCCAGAGAATACCAAGAGCAGCACGGGTCCAAACTAACTAAGCAGGTCAGTCTGCCAGACTGTCAGTGAACCTGGGCAACAGCTGACTGGGAGGAAGTAATAGAATCACCTGAATGAGTGAGGCTGGGGCTGAAGAGACCCAGAAGTTCAGTCTGTAGACAGGAGAGTGAAGGGTGTGGACATTTGGAACTGACAGCCTTTCAAAGCTATTTTTACTAAGTAGTTTATGAATGATAATCTATTAATACTCTATTAATTGGATCACACATCCATACACTCTCTGAGCCATACTTTTTTCAGAATTTCCATCATCCTTAAGTAAAATGGATATTGATGTAATGTTGTGTATATATGCATATATACAGCCTTATATAAAGCTGATTCAGCGTTCCATACATTTAAAGTTTTAGTCTTGTGCATAATGTGGCGTTTTTACAGTACATATTTGAATTTTTCCCAGTCAGCTGTTGCCCTCCTCCAGAGCTGCTGCTAATGTTTGCTCAAGATTCATCCTTAGCAGATGTTTTTCTTGGTTTAGGCCTCGTCTTGGATGGAGCAAGTTCATTGACAGTCTGGCAGACTGTCCTGCTTAGTTAGTTTGGACCCATGCTGCTCTTGTGATTTTTACCGAAGTTTTATGTGATTTTAATGAAACATGGGTAATTGTGGCCAACTGCTAATTATTTGTAGTTTAAAAATAAAAGGTTTTGCTAGGTGTCTCACTTGTAATTCTAACATTTGGGTGGCTGAAGTAGGACTGCTGTGAGTTCAAGTCCAGCGTGAGCTACATAGATGTTGTCTTTAAAAAAGACAGTAATACTTTAATCCCATTAAAAAATCTTACTAATCCATGATTAAGAATGATTTACTGGGCTAGGTAGGTATGGAGGTACTCATCTTTAATTTAAGCACTCAAGAAGCTGAAGCAGGAAGATCGCTATGAGTTTGAGGCTAGCCTGATGTACATAGTAAGTTCCAAGATAGCCAGGGCTACATAGTGAGACAATGTCTCAAAAAACAAGCAAATAAAGCAAACAAGACCAACAAAAGAAACAATACACTATTAAAAGCCAGCAGAATAGAACACTACCATTCATTCTTAGATAAAGGCACCTACCTCTATAACCAAGGTACTACCATCAAATAGTAAAGCACAGCAAGAAATCCAAGCACATACATTGCATGTAATGTTCACTAGTAAAAGTGCACTCTGCCTCAAAAAACTAAATGAAAAACAACATAACCACAAACAAAACCCTTGCAAAAGTTTTTTGACTACTGTGGATTTTGGTAAAAACCATACATAGTTTTACATTTTCTAATATCTTTCACAAGAAAAAATTCTTGAAAATTAGAAATCATACCTTCCTGCTGATTCTGCAAGAATACATACAAAAGAAAGCCAATGACTGAAAAACAAGCATTAAGTAGTCATCAGTCATTATTTTGCACTGAAGGAATGAGTCATTTCATAGGACACTGTGCCTAAGTCAAACACGAAAACTTACAGGCTCGCACATTTATGAAATAGCACCCACAGCAAGATATAATCACATACATTTTGCTGATTCCCCTTAGCACCCATCTGCAGAGGAAACAGCGTCCTGTGTCACTGGATGAGCACTTTAGCAGACTCCTGTGGGCTTTGTGTTCATGCTAAGCAACAGAAAGCCTGCAGCCACTCCAGCTAACATGCCAGTCTCCATCTAGTAACTGAATATTTTCTAGACACGGGGATGACCAGAAGCACTCGGGACCAGCTGCTTGCCCTCTCTCCCCATCCCTAGTTAGTTCTCTCCAAGGTGGGCGTGGAAGAGACAAGGCTGGGGGAAGGAAGGCAGGACGTTACACTTTCAGCAAAGGAGAGCAGATGCTGACTGGAGTTGACTGGGTTCTTCAGAGTCCTACCTCTGAGTTCCTTTTGGCATGTAGCACTACTGACGGCATTTGGCTGTCATTCGTAAGACTGTAGGAGCCTCACCGTCCCTCTAGGCAGTCTATTTAGGCTGGAGTCAGAACAGCTAAGGAGCTATCCTCTCACCTACTTGGCCTCCTCTGAGCTGTAGGAAGCACACAGAACCTTTCAAATCCCAAGCCAGCAGCCTCCTGTACAGCTCTTGCACTGGGGGCTGCTGGCCAGCAATAGCTCTCTACTTGCTGGGTATTTTCAACTGATTTATATAAGTGTGTGGGCATTTTGCCTGCATGTGTGCTTGTACCTCACGTGCATGAGTGCTGGAGGAGGTGGGAAGAGTGAAACCTTGGACTGGACACTTACAGACAGTTGCATGCTGCCTCGTGGGTGCTGAGAATCAAACTTGTGCCCTCTGGAAGAGCAGCCAGTGCTCTTACCCATGGAGGCCTCTCTCCAGCCCCTCCTTGTCGGAGTTTCCAGGGGCTGTCTTGGTCCTCTGTGCCCCCCATGGATGGAGGTGCTTTTCACTCCAGAGACCCTGGGGGGGGGTGGCACAAGCAACAGAGGCCAGCCTGGTCTACAGCAGTCAGAGATAGACAATAGATAAACACCGACTCAAAAAAGAAAAATAATCCTGTCATTTTGTTTATAAAGGTTTGTCCTTTTCTCCTCTCATTTTATATTATATTTATATTATAGTTTATTCTTTCCTGTGGCCTTATGGATGCCAACTACAGTCATTCGGATGAAATAACCCCACGGCCCAGTCGAACGGCCATACCAACATGAGGATGATTGCCTGTTTAAGGATAAAGTGAGGGATTCTGTGCTTGCTTGGTTGGAGAGAGGGTCTGGAGATGTAAGTCATTTCACTCTCAATCCTCCTGCCTCAGTCTCCTACTGCTGGAACTTCAGGTGCCTTTGCCACACCCAGCCTCCTTCCCAAACTCAAAAATAAATTTTCATTTAAGAAGAGGCCAGGTGTACAGGTATATGCCACTGATCCCAGCACTTAGGAAGGCAGACGTAGGTGGATTTCTGTGAATTCAAGGACAGCCTAGTCTACATAGCAAGTTCCAGGCCAGCCAGAACTGTAA